AGGTGGAAGGGACTTTCAATACCCAAAATTTCACCTGTTTCGTCATGCTTCCTGCTCTGACTGGGAGGATTATCTTGCCAACTGGCCACTTTGGCATTGAGTTGAATCCGGTCAGAGGAGATACAGCAGGTGCCAAGTCTTTATCCTCAAATTTCAATTGTTTGAAGGTTTCATAATACATTATCTCACACAAGCTTCCTTGGTCAATCAAAATCCGTTTGATGTCAAAATCCTTGATGCGGAGAGTGACAACTAGTGCATCGTTGTGAGCGCAATATATCCTTGCCAAGTCTCTGTCTGAAAAGGATATGGCATTCGTGGCCTCTGTTCTCCCCTTTTTGATAGTAGGTGGTGCTTTTAAAACCTCCCTTAAGTGCTCAGCCTTTTTGATCATGCCCCTGAGCTCACATACGCACTCAGGTTCGCATACCCCATGTATTACGTTTATCACGCCTTGAGGTGGGGCGTCAATTGGCATTCCGTTCGGGTGGTTGTCATTTCGGGGGGCTGGCTGCACCCCTCGTCCAATGTATTTGTCCAGGTGACCGGTTGCCACCAACTCCTCTAGATGTTGTCTCAATGGAGTACAATTTTCAGTGCGGTGCCCCTTTTCTTTATGGAAGGTGCACCGTGATCTTTCGTCATAGTCCTTCTGAGCCTCTCCTAGCTTGGCAGGCCATCTGACGAAAGGTTCATCGCGTATCTCGCTTAGAATCCGGTAGATTGGCTTTTTGAATACCGTGGTAATGACAGTGCAGACTCTCAACCATCTTTTATCCTGGTCTTCTCTATTGTCCCGCATGCCTCGTCCGTTTTTGTTCGGACGTTCCACCGCGTTGACCTTTGCCGCGGTCCTTTTATCTGGTACTGCAGTCGTGCTAGACTTTGCTTTAGCACGGGCGCCAGCTTCTTCTACCCGAATGTGCTGGTGCACTCTCTCCATTAAGGCCTCTATCGTGAGAGGCGGTGTCACAGTGATTGAGTCCCTTAGTCTATTCCCGACTGGAAGGCCTCTTTTGTACTGTGCGATGGCGAGACTGGTGGGGCAGTCCCCAATCTAGTTGAAGGTCTCCCAGTAGCGGCTATTGTAGGATTTTAATGACTCTTTTTCGCCCATGTCGATGGAGAGCAGTTGATCAATCTCCACCGGGGTTTTGGTGTTCGTTCTGAACCTTGTTACGAACGCCTCCGCCAATTACGCCCAGGAGGCTATGCTGCCTTCTGGAAGTTTTTCGAACCAAGTCAAGCCTAGGTCGCCAAGGCTTGATGGGAAGAGGATGCACATCAAAGCCTCGTTTTGCCGATATACCGCCATAACCTGGCGGAAGTGGCTTAGGTGCATATAAGGATCTGTCTTTCCCTCGTACGTGGTGAATTTGGGCTAGAGGAAGCCTGAAGGTAGGGGCGCGTTTTCGATTGTCGGAACGAACGACGAGGTTCGCAGCCTCGCTAATGCTTTATCCGTTGGTTCGTAGGCAGGGCACGGTAATGGCATTCCAACCTCGACGCTTCTATGCGTCCGAGGAGCCAACCGCTGAAGGGAAGATACCCTGCGAGGGTCGCGCGCCCTAGTATCCTCCTTCCATCGTGCCCTTTCTTCTAGCACGGTCCGTAAGTCGGATGATCTTGGCAACTCCGTCTGCCTGGATGATGTCTGGTGCGTGCGCGAGGGCTGATAGGTGCTTCTCTCAGTATACGACCTCTCAGTCCTCGTTCTCTCAGACCTAGAGCAACGAGTCCTGGAGGTTCTGGATTGAGTATTGCCTGTCCTGAGGCTTCTACTCTCTGCTTGTGATGGTGTGGTATGCCTACCACGGTCTTCTGAGTGGCGAGGGAGGCGTCTTGCTTTTGCGCCCCTCTCCTATCGCCACTCCTTTTCCCTTCATCTGGCGCTTCATAATCTCCATGTCCACCGCCATCCGTCGTATCAATTCGTCCTACTCCTTCACGCGGTCCTCCAGAACTTGAGGATCAATCCTCCGCCTTTGTTTGTCAAGACTTTGTGAACGAGAGTGACAGGGGCTGTTATTCCGCCTACCCCTAGCATCCCTCCTGGGGTTATGTCGTTAGGGCTCCAAGTCCACCATGGGAGGGACAGGAGGCAAACCTTCGTGCCTCCCACCTCCTTCTGGGGTTTGTCCATCAATGGCAGACTGCGGCAAATCTTCGTTGTGCGCCATTACTTTTTAATAGCAAGGAAAACTTAATCAAGAGGTTTTGTTCGTTCTGTTTGTTCCCCATAGACGGCGCCAATTGTACGGGAAAGAAATAAACCTTCTCGTATAATCCTGTTGATCAAGATTGCGCTCCTCCGTACGTCGTCGCTTTACTCCCTAAAAGCACAAACGTGAGCTAGCCGACGAGTGTGTGCCGGATACCTCTCCGATGCCTAAGTTAGCAAAATAGACAAATAGACAAAAAGCTCTATGAATTCGGGAATCAAAGTTGTGTTACCTCTCCATAGGTGATGTTTGTGAGCTTTTGTAGGTTTCGCGTGGCACAATCCTAGTAGGACTTTTACTCCTCCATGTACAGTCCTCCTAAGAGTTACATTCCTGAAAGATAATACTTATCCTTCAACACCCCCCTTACTGCTTAAACCAAGTGAGATGGTCTTACCATGGTCGGATTCCAATACGACCGAGGTAAGCATGGCTATGCTAAGCCGCAAACTAGACCGAACTATAGCTAGTTTGGTTCTTCCTTTCACTGCTCTTACCTCGGTTTCTCAGGTACAAACCATGGTGTGATTAGACCGAGCTAACAAATAGCAAGGTTCTGACCGAGCTAACCACGATAAGCCATGACCGGGCTAACTTTGAGTACGGTGACCGGGCTAAACGCAAAGCTTCTCTAGACCGGACTAACTTCAAGGTTCTTTCAGACCGGGACAACAATAAGGCTTACCAGGACCGGGCTAACTACAAGCCCCCTTTTATCCAGCCCTTCTTACTGTGGCCCAAAGAACGGCCCATTTACCCAGCTCGGCCCATTTACCCATCTCGGCCCAATTTAGGTATAAATTACCCTCTTAGCAGCCAAATGCAGACAGAATTGAGAAAGAGAGAGAGAGAGAGAGGATATCCTAACCTGATGATGGCAATCTCTTTCTGTCTTCTGTTTATGGTTTCTTTCTATCTACATTGTGTGTCGTTCGTCGACCATTGTCGTTTGCTAGCAATTTTTTGAAATTTGGTACTTGTTGGAGAGACAATCAGGTCGATTGTTTGGTTTTGAAACCGAGTAGGCTATTATGGTTTGATTTGTTTGTAAAATCATTGGATTGTGAAACAAGGTTCACAAAGAGACGATGTGACCACTTATTTGGTTCTAATGCAGAGTGTACTGTGGTGTTTTGATTTAAAACCACTGGGTAATGAAACAAAATTGTCCCAGAATTGTTCCGAAACAGAGTAGAAAATTATGTTTGAAGTTACTTGGTTATGAAACAAAATTGTTCCGAAACACTGGATATGAAACCGAATTGTTCTGAAACGGAGTGGAGAATTATGTTTGAAGTTATTTTTCAAATTTGTTTTAGATGTTATCATTAGATTATGAAACCGAATTGTTTTGAAATAGAGTGGAGAATTGTGTTTGTAGTTGTTTCTCAAATCCGTTTTGAAAAATGAGTGAGACCCGCTTTTCAGAGGACCCCACAACCCCAAAGTAATCCACACCACTCATGATGTGTGGGGCCCATTCATATATGTATGGAGCCCACATCATGAGTTGTGTGGATCACTTTGGGGGTTGTGGGGGTCCTCCAAAAAAGGGGGTCTCTATCATTATTGATCTGTTTTATATGTTTATTCAAAGTTTGTTTTAGATGTTTGGAGATTCAAACTTGTTTGCGTGGTTACAATGGTAAGGCATTTGAAATCCTGTTTTAGACTCTTCAAGCACTGTTGGCATTTGAAATACGAAGTTGTTTCCAGTATTTTATCCCAACAAGCAACGGTTGGCATTTGCTTTGTGGTTGCTCAATTGTCAAGCAGTTTGCTTGGTGGTTTTTAAAATAATAGTAGAATTGTGGGTATTTTAGAGGGTAAAATTGAAAATTTAAAAAAAAAGTAGAAAACATAACAGGCTCTTCACACTTTTAAAATAGTAATCAGTATGTTTGGTTTGAGTTTTCTGGATTAAGTTTTTTGAAAATTGAATTTTTTGATTTTCGTGTTTTTTTTTTTTTTGTTTTTAGTGAATATTTTTTAAATCTTAAACATTTTTTTTACTTTTTTAGATGCACGTTACTTAGATGTATCTAAAAAGTAAAAAAAAAATTGAAAAAATATTTTTAAAAATTAATAAATACATAGAAATACAAAAAATGTACTGAATTCTTGTATTTTTTTTGTATTTTTGGTATTTAGTGAATTTTTAAAAGATTTTTTTTACAATTTTTTTACTTTCTAGGTGTATTTATATTAGGTGCGTCTAAAAAGTAAAAAAAATGCTTAAAATATTAAAAAATAATAATGAAAACAAAAAAAACACGAAAAATAAAAAAGTAAAATTTTCTGAAAAGTGTATTTGAAAAAATGGAACCAAGCAAGCTGAAATAGATTTAGAATAATAGTAGAATTGTGAGTATTTGAGAGGGTAAAATTGAAATTTAAAAAAAAAATGTTTGTTTGGTGGCTTTTAAAATAATAGTAGAATTGTGGGTATTTGAGAGGGTAAAATTGAAATTAAAAAAAAAAAAAAAAAGTTTTCTTGGTGGATTTTAAAAATAATAGTAGAATTGTGAGTACTTAAGAGAGTAAAATTGGAATTTGAAATAAGTAAAAAACATGACAGAAAATATTTTAAATAATTGTAGAATTGTGGGTATTTAAGAGGGTAAAATTGGAATTTAAAAAAAAAAAGTTTGCTTGGTGGCTTTTAAAATGAGGGCAGCTAAATGTCCTTACCTTTTCTACTTTGAACCCCCACTTCTTTGGCCCCTCACCACTAAAATTGCTTCCCTCTTTATTTTTCTTTAGGCCCTTACTATAATCTCAAATATACCCTTTGAATCCCACCTCTACACCTTCCACCTTCAACTCCTCCTTCCTTCCTCCAGCAGTCTCCCTCCCACTTTGGCGACCCTTCCTCTCCGGCAACCTGCTCAAATAATGACAGCAGCAATAATAGTACAACAATCGTCTGTTTCCTCGAAATATCAGGTAGATGCGAACTATGTTTTAAGGAATGTAACAACCTTGGAAGTGTAATGGGTCCAAGTTCGAAGGGTGATTCCTCCATTGTAGAGAATCACATTAATGTTGCTGAAGATGAATGATGAATAACCAGTTCGGAAAACCCATCTTTTTGCCTTCGTTCGCCACTGTTCGAAAAACCAATTCCGAACAAAAGCCCGATGTTCAGTACTATGTAGCCGAAGAAAAGGCATATGTTCAGTTTTGGAGCACCGAATATATTCAACAAGTTCAACTCTGTGTAACCGAACGAAGAGAAATCGACCAACCTGTGAGGTAGAGAGAGAAATCGATGGGGAGAGAGGGAGTCATGCACAAAAGAGAGAAGAGAGTAGGTTCCGAAGGATGAAGATGAAGATCGCGAAAGAGAATTCGTGAATCAGTTGCTCCTTCTCTACAACCGTTGCCAAAACCGTAACCTCGCCGCCATTGATAGTTTTGTAAACAAGTGGTGGTGAGAGGCTCGCCAAAGGGAAGAAAATAGCAGAGGTGGGTTGGTTGCCAGAGGCCGCCGGCAGGAGTGGGAGTGGAAGTGGTGGTAGGATTAGGGTTAGGGTTAGACTTAGAAGGATATGATGGGGACAAAATTGGAATTTGATGTTAGAAAAAAATTGTAATAAAATAAAATATAAAAATAGGGAGTCCAAAGTAAAAAGGTAGGGACATTTAGTAACCCTCTTTAAAATAATAGTAGAATTGTGGGTATTTAAGACGGTAAAATTGGAATTTAAAAAAAAAATAGTAGAATTGTGGGTACTTGAGAGGGTAAAATTAGAATTTAAAAGAAAGTAGTAAACATTTAAAATAATAGTAGAATTGTGGGTATTTGAGAGGGTAAAGTTGAAATTAAAAAACAAAAAAGTTTGCTTTGTGACTTTTAAAATAGTAGTAGAATTGTGAGTATTTAAGAGAGTAAACTTGGAATTTTAAAAAAAGTTTGCTTGGTGGCTTTTAAAATAATAGTAGAATTATGAATATTCAAGAGGGTAAAATTAAAATTTAAAACAAATAAAAAACCATGACAGACTCTTTATATTTTTAAAATAGTAGTACATTTTTTAGTCTTCCTATTTATTTGCAATTTGTCTTTTATTAAACCCATTATTATTAATAATAAAATAAACCCACATTTAAAACAGCCAAACAATTGAACCTCAACCCAAAAGATTTGCCTTTTAGCATTCACTAATTGTTGGACATTTAACACAGATTGAAGTACTTTAAACATCATTTATTCAAGCAAGCACTGTACGTACAAAAAGGGCCGAGACATACAACACAAAGAGAGGTGAGATCAAAATGCCGGTACGTACAAAAAGAACTAAAATACACTACGAGAAAGGGAGCTGCTACGGACCCAAAATTTGCGCACACAAAAATATCTAGAAAAAATAACGTGTGATCTAAATTCAATCTAAATGTGAATTCCACCATTAAAGAATTAAATTTGGACTACGCATTGTATCTCTGAATAAATTTTTGTGTGTATGAGTTTAATATCGGTAGATTTATTGGTTTGAGAGAAGTGGAAAAGCTTAAAAAATTGAAAATTCCATATCACCAAACAATTGTTCCAATGAAATCATGTTGAGTGGAATTTGAAGGGATGGACTTTGTTTTGATAGCACCACAGAAACTTGTTGCATGGTTGGGTGAGATTGTGGCCTAGCACGCAAACATGCAAATGCTAGCTTTGCAATCAAATCCACTCGATGTGGCACTTGATTCTTGGATGTTGGGAGGCGTCGGTCCAGAATATCCGTCAAAAACATGCCTTCAAAATTTGACTTTGACGACGATGATGATGATGATGATGATGGTAGGGAAGAGATGAGATGGCCTGGATGTTTCCCCATTATCACTTCCAATGTTAGCACTCCGAAGCTATAGACATCGCACTTCTCATTCGCTTCCATTGTGAAAGCAAGTTCTACCAAGGAAGCAAATGCAGAAAAGAAGAAAAAGAAAGAAACTGATCATGCTCTGTTTTCTAGTGTATGGTAATTTGAATTATCATAACACATACATGCAATTGGAGCTACAAAATGTCAGATCAATTAATTAGCTACTATATCATCAGTTTGTTGCATTTTAAATGAGCTGCTGACCAATTTTTTTATTTTGAAATTTTTTGTCAGACTGTTCATTATAATTTCTACTTACAGCTTATATGCTTAAAATTTTGAAACAGAGTGTGGTTTTATATTCTGCTCATAGATTATCAGTTTTCAACTTAAAAAAAGTTACAACGAACAAGCTCTAAATCACATGATTCGCATGAGATGAATTGAATTATTGACTTGAGTCACCTACTAAATCAACTTATCATTTTGATCAACTGAAGTATATAAAAAATAAATAATTAAATAATTAAAATAAAAAGGAAAAGAAAATGAAAAAGGGGTAACTCTCATCAGTTCTTTAAAACTCATATCAAGCATAGATTAGAGCTAGATTAACTTATCCTTTTGGCTCTAACCAACTTCAAAGGCCTCCTAACTGAGAGCACACCAAAAGTTTCAACCTCAGCCAGTTGGGTTAGCATCAAAATGCGATGTTTAATGGCCATGCAATGGCCCTCAAAACTCAGTGGAATGACAAGCTTACAATCTTGCCAAACTTCATGAGTGAGAGAGACAGAGAGAGTTGCAGTCCTGCAATAGAAAGATAAATACCTGGAGCAGCGTATCCAAAGGTTCCCGCAAATGAAGTCCAATTTGAGGAGTCGGGATTTATGAGTCTAGCTGTGCCAAAATCAGAAATATGAGCCACATATTCTAAATCCAACAAAATATTATTGCTCGATATGTCCCGAAGAATGATCGGAGGGGAACAATCATGGTCCATACAAGACAAAGCATTTGCCACCCCTTGAATGACATTCACCCTCTTAGTCCATTCAAAATTCATTGCTTGCTTCTCATTGCTTAGTATCTTCCTCAAGCTTCCCCTTTCCAGGAATTCATAAACCAAAAATAGGTGTCTTGGGTGTGAACAAAAACCATAAAGCTTCACAATATTACGATGCCGTATCTCTGTTAATGCTTGAATCTCACTTGTAAAACTTTTCACAACCACCAACTCGGCATCTTGTGAATTATGAAGTTTCTTTACAGCAACAACTTGACCACTTGGCAGCTCAACTTTATAAACAGTAGCATATCCTCCCACCCCAATAAAATGATTGGTGCTAAAGTTCTCAGTCGCTTCAATTATGTTTTCATACACCAATTTTCCATCATAGCTCCATATTTCAAACAAATTTTCCTTAGTTGCATGGCTTGGCTCATTGACTTTGTTCCTGGCTCTTTTGTGAAGAATGAAAAAGATTGCCAACATGCCAAATAAAAACAATGAAATACCCAACACAAGAACTATAACCAAAATCACAAATTTGTTGTGCTTTTTCCCCTTCGGCCCATCACTCATTTTGGGATGGCAGGCCTTCAAACCGGAGATATTGCAGCACAAAGCGTTGTTATCTCTGAATGCCTCAAATGAAACCTTCTGAAAGACTTTGCTGTTGGGAAGAGGACCCTCCAAATGATTGTAAGATATATCAACAGATATCAAACTTAGCATATCATTGAAAGTAAGTGGGATGGAACCTGAGAACCCATTTTGGGATAGATTCAGTGACTCTAAGTTGTGCAGTTCTCCAATCTCTTGTGGTATCTCAGCTTTAGTGAATTTTGGCCAAGATCAAGATTTTGAAGAGAGTGCAACTTGCTTATGTCGATAGGAATATCTCCCCCAAGTTTATTCTTGCTCAAATTCAAGTTTAGTAGCTTCACGCACTCCCCTAATTGTTTTGGGACCAAGCCACTGAGCTTATTTGCCGCCAAGTTCAGATTTTGTAGGTCAAATAAGCTACCAATTTCTAGTGGAATGTTGCCTTTGTTATCACTCAGAGTAAGGTCGAACAATGAGTGCAACTTTCCCATATTATGTGGGATCTCCCCAACTAGATGATTTGAAGAGAGGTCAAGTACATGTAGTTGAGTTGCATTTCCAAGCTCAGACGTATCCTCCCAGAAATATTATTGTTGGACATCTTCAGGCTTGTCAGATTATGACAAAGTCCCCATTTTGGAGATAGCTCACCATATAAATGATTAAAACTCAAGTCAATATAATTTTAGTTTGGGTATACACCGAAATCTTCTGATATATTTGCTACAAGTTCGTTTCTGTCAAGCCTAAGTCTGCAATCTAGTTTTGGGATCGAACCTGTGAGGTTATTGTCAGATGCAGAAAAATATTCAAGCAATCCACCAAGGCATACATTGTGTGGTAAATGACCTGTGAGTCTGTTAAAAGCTAACTGCAAGCTTTGTAAATGTGTAAGATTATTAAATGACAGAGGAATGGAGCCAGATAGTTGATTACTTGATAAAATCAATTGTTTGAGCTTATTTAAGTTTCCAATACTAGAAGGAATGTTTCCCGATAGTTTGTTGGCATAAAGGTTCAGAATGGTTAAGTTGGCCAAGTTCCCTATAGGGGTCGGGATTGAACCTGTGAGATTATTTGTTGACAAATCAAGTTCATTGAGAGACATAAGCTTCCGATTTCTTGAGGGATAAACCCAGAAAGTTTGTTTCCATAAAGGTATAAGATGGTTAAGTTGGTCAAGTTCCCTATTGAGACAGGGATTGAACCTGTGAGGTTATTAAAAGTGAGAGACAACTTATATAGAGACCTTAACAATCCGACCTCTTCAGGGATCGATCCAGAAAGTTGGTTTTCATAAAGGCTTAAAATGGTTAAGTTGGCCAAGTTCTGTATAGAAGTAGGGATTGAACCAGTGAGATTGTTCCTTGACATTTGGAGATCAATGAGAGATCTTAGCATCCTGACTTCTGGAGGGATTAGTCCAACAAATTTATTTTTGGTAAGGTGTAATTTGGTTAAATTACCCAAGTTTCCAATAGACGGAGGTATTGGACCTAAAAGATTGTTAGAATACAAAAGGTGTTCCCTGAGAGAGCTAAGCATTCCTATTTCGGATGGAATTGTTCCTGGAAGACGATTGTTGGACAAGCTTAGGTAGGTGAGTCTCACAAGGCTACCAATGTTTGAGGGGATGGTCCCATGGATTGAGTTGCTATAAAGTTCAAGGCTGACAAGATGAATGAAGGAAGAGAAGTTAAGATTGAAAAGTGTACCTCTCAAACCGTAATTCTCAAGGTCTATATGGGTGACTCTACTGGCTTTGTTGCATCCAATTCCAACCCAACTGCAATGGTTGCTTGCATCCCAAGATGATAGAAGAGATTGGCTCTTGTTGTTAAGCCTAGCTTTCCATGGCAAGAGAGCGACTACTTCAGTTCCTTCTTCTCCAAATTCTCTAGTTGCAAAAGAAGCATGAGCAGCAGAATCAGAAGAAGAGAGGAACGCAAGGATGATGATAAAAACAAACAAAACTTGGAAAGGAATGAACTGGTTGGACAGCCTCTTTACTAAGGATGTCATTGTTGGTTTGTTACCACAAACAATGAGGAGCAGTTGTTTGGATGGAAGGATGATGAAGGGCATGGAGTTCTTTTGGTCCATGGAAAGGTATTTATAGATAGAAAATGCAATACATAATCAAATACAGAGCTATGAAGTTCACAGTGGTTCAATTTGATAGACATACAAGATCTGATATCTACATAAAGAAAATGGGGAAGAAATTCTATTATGATTCACACATCAGATCCTTTGAATAATGATTTCCTGTAAGCACATCTCTCTTTCTTAGTTTCACGCTGGCCTAATGAATGAAAGTCAGTCTTTTAGTAAGCTTTCATACTTGAGTTTTGTACTTTCCATTGAATTATAAAATTTAATCATCATTTCACTCAATATCTATCTGACCTTTGATTTGCTACTACTTCTGTTTTTCTTCTTTCATTTTTGTTTTTACGGTTCCTTTCCTTTTCCTTTTCCATCTGTTTGACAAAGTGATCAGCCTTTTAAAAATGTCGTTGCAATAGACTCGTACTGCATGCTAATTGGGGAAGGCTTAGGAATTTCCAATAAATAATGATAGATATAGATATATGAGTTGACCAAATAAGCAGTGGTTGGGCCTCCAAACCTTTTACTCACTTCTCAATTCTCACCATTGTTCTGCCATGCATAGAGGGGAAGGACATACTATTGTAATTAGATTATCAGTAATTCTAAATTCTCAAAAATCTTATTTGCCTATATAATTTTCAGTATTTATAAAAGAAATTAGCATTTTAAACCACCAAAATCTATATGAATTTTACTTTTTTTATGAATTTTACTTAAGTGCATAAAAAATCTTATAATTTCACCTTAGTCCGTATTTTTTTTACAATTTCTGGATCCGCCACTGCCTTTTGACGTTGGGGTCCCCGGGTCGAAGTTGCTGGTTCAATTATTCAAACTTACATTTGTTTGTTGAACCATATAGTCGGAGCCATCTTCTTGGACTGGAGAAGTTTGTTTGTGCTTAATTTAAACGAGATCTCTCATAGTTTGTCAAACAGATATCTAGTCTCCATATATATAATAAAAGAGGAAGCCTGATTTGACTTTGTGAAGTCAAGGAGTTTTACATATATACACAATCACAATGACATATTGAATTATGCGAGTTTAGTACTAGAGGAAACACAATTAGCGAGTTTACATTGTTTAATATTTTTTCCCCCAAAAGCTAGGTTTCCAACCTTGATGTCCAATCGAATTCCCTAATCTCAATCCAATCCAATCCAAACAGGAGGGTCTTACCAGAAATTACGGGTAGCAAAATAGAGGACACATTGGAACAAAGCAACGATCTGGTGAGGGGTGAGGGACATACCTGTTGGTGGTGGAACAAAGTAACGATCGATGAACCACGGTACCATATGAGTATGCCGATATGGCAATTCCTTAAAAAGAAATAGTATACCAATACGGCTAAATATTTTATTTTTTATAATTTATAATTTCAGATTCAATCTACAATTAAAGTTTAATATCAAAATTAAAAGGAGAGATTACAAAATGAAAAGAGAGTTTTCATAGTTTAACAATACTAATACCAAAGCAATGTCTATAGACTAATTTAATGCTATTAAATAAGAAACATTACAAAACAAAGTTTCATTCTAAAAGTAAGGTAATCAAAATTTTTAAAAACTTGAAACTTCAATTTTTTCTTCTATCAACTTCCTCATTGAATAATACATCTTTCATTTATAGCATGTGAAGTAAAGGATTTGCAATTTCAAGTAAATCACAACTCTCTAATAAATTGAACGTATCTCCAACAATGTTCCATAATTTGGTGTACCCCCGATATATCCATCTCGTACCCACAAAGTACCCAACTATTAAAAAAATGTATAAAAAGTACTTAGTACGTATTTCGAGTATCCGATACACATGCAACGTATGAATATCAATATTCGGTATAAGTACAACAACATTTTTAGAGTGTCCGTGGTTCATAAATAACGGTCTCACCCAATCTAATCTGTCAAACAAACGTGGCCTAAATGAATCTGAATCACACTTTTTTTTTGGGGGGGAGGGGGTTTGAATTTGTAGTTGATTTTTTTTTTTTTTTAACTTATTATAGAAAGACAATAAAAAATGAAAAGAATTGATGTGATTAAAATAAATTAATAAGTTGATTTACCAAAAGAAGCCGTCGTAGGTGGTTGAATTTTTGCAACAAATTTGATTTTCATCACGTGATCATCAAGAGAAATATTAAGGCTACACCCCTTTATATGTATTTTACTACAAAAATTTATAATTTTATAATTTTATTATAAAATTTTGTAATACCAATGTCACAGTCCTAAATTTTTTTTTTTTAACGTCATAAGATTTAAATAACAATAACTTACTAGATAAAATTTTAACTACTAATTAGGAACTTTTAAGTTCTTACATAGTCAAAGTCTAACAACAAAATAAAACTACAAGTTTACACACAACGTCACAACATAGTTAAATCCTAATACAAGGGATAACAGGATTTTATTTTGAAAAAATCTTGACTCTAAGTTAGCCAATGTTCGATATTGGCAGCAGCTCCAATTTTAGCCTCAGTCCCTTCTTCGACATAATCTGGCATGAAACGCCAGGGCAAAATATATGCCATGAGTTTTGCAACACAGTAAGAAAACATAACCAACCTACCATTCTTTTTGAGAAAAATAATAAGATTATAAACACGAGATAAAAATATAATCGCAAACATAAATTACAGCCATTAAAACAATTCAAATAATTTTAATAACTTAGGTCACCCTTGAAATCTCACCAAAGAGATTTAACTTACCAACTACTAAGTCATGGTCACGGTTAATTTGGAAACCCCCCCTTGGTCAAATATTCAAGAACTACCAAAGATGTCCACGCCCAGAGTTATTTACCCAAGCCGTGACATCCGTGGTCTGCCCCAATGGAACGGTCTGCCAGGGATACGTAACTTCCCTGCGTGCCACCCGCACATCCACCCTTATTTCAAAACCAATTACCGATAAGGGTTCAAATAAGCTTCGTGTCACCTTAGGGTTTCGCGACACAATTTACTTATAACTCATTAAAAACCAGGACTCACCCTG